CTTTACATATCTACGGTGCCTTTGTTTTTAGGAACAAAATTTAAGCCCTGCATCCTCTGTCTGTAAGTAAGCAGATCACAGTGATCATACCTGGAAGATATGAAAGGCAGCGGGGATTTTGAAAGAAAAAGTCTCCATCCCCTGATCAAAAACTCCCCCCAACCGGCATCCCCATATCCACCTCCTCATTCCCTCCCTCCCACATCCCTCATCCTGCTTGGGGAAAAAAATACCACAGCTTTTTCCTTTCCTGGAGGGAAACACTTGCCCAAGAGTCAGACAGGCCTGTCTTTGATCCCAACTCAGCCACTTAACTAGATGACCACAGGCAAGGCACTCCACCTCTCTGTGTCTCCGTTTTCCTGAGTCTAAGGAGGGAATATTGAGAACATCCCCACAGGGTCGTGAGGTTACAGAAATGGCAGAACAAGCAGGCCTCTAAGAAAGACTTAGCTCAGCACAAGCCCCATCCACAGTAAACATCCAATACATGTTAGGTTTTCTCCCCATGGCCAACCTAGTCACAAAGGGGAGCCGCAGGAGCCCCTGGACCCAGGCCACTGTGTGGTCCAGCCTATGCTTGGAGTGTGAGTGCAGGCCGATGTGGAAAGACCAGAAGACAAGAAGGAGAGAGAGGCTCTGGTTCTCTGGCAGGGCTTCTCTGCAGGCTCTTGGGGACATTGGACTGCCCTCCCTCACCACTATCAATAGAGGGGCTGCTAGGGTCAAGGAGAAAGGCAAGCCGGGGAATATAGCTTCAGAGGCAGGAACGGAGCTCCCAGTTTGGGTGCCTTTTCTTCCTTTACTCTCCTCCCCTGGAAGCAGAGGGTGAGAGATTTGCCCAGTGCAGAGGGCCCCGGTTAAGGAAGGGTGGGGAAGAGGCTCCAGCCAAGCTGCAGATGGGAAGGTCTAGCGAGAGGAGGGAAACCTAGCTCATGGTTGCACACATGTCCCCCTGGGCTGGCCCATTAGTGGGGGTGCCTCTCTGTAAAGATGCATGGGCGTGTATGAGGTGTGCATACATCTGTGATGGCCCCTTAGGAAAGGGCAAGGCTGGTAGAGGGTTACCGGGTAGAAAGGCTCATCCCTCTTTGCCTTCTCCCTCCAGCTAGGCTGAACACACAGGGAAGTCCTGGGTTCTTTTCTTGGCTCTGCAACTGATCCCGGGCGTGACCTTGGGCCAAACCCTTAACTCGTGCTCTGAGGCTCTGTTTACTTCTCCTCCAAAGGAGAGAAGGAGCCCTACTGACCACTTTCCAGGCCAGCCTCAGGGTCCAAAGGGGAAGCAGGGAAGGAAACCGGGGTGAAAGGGGTCGGCACTGCGACCTTCGAGAACCCACAAGCCGTTCTCTCCCAGGTCTCTCAGTCCTCCCTGCCCCAATCCCCATGTCTGCCTCCGCGACCCTGTGATGCCTCCCTTCTTACACAAGAGCAGCGACCTCAGCACTTACTTAATCCTCTCCGGGCGCCGAGCTCAGTTGGAGAGGCTAGGGTTGGTGGTGACTGGCGGGAGGCCGGGGCTGTGGGTCCAATCCGAGGTCAGCCCTCCCTGCACGCTCCGAGCCGCAGGCCAGGCCCGCTACTACGCACCGGCTGCAGCCGCGAGTGCTGGCTCTGCCGGCCTGGGCAAGGGTGGGCAGGTCCAGGACCACGGCAGGGGTGGGGCCGGGCCGAGCAGCCTCGGGGGATCCCCGAAGCTACAGTGCTTTGCCTACCCTCACGCTCCGCGCCCCCTGCCCCTGATTGGCTATCGGGCCTAGAGCCCGCCCAGAATTGGACCGTTCGCTTGTCGCTCGGGTCTGACTCCACCCTCAGATGGAGCCTGGAGACCGGTCGCAGTTCTTACTGAGACTGCACCTTCACCGTGGCAGGCGCTGAAGTTGGGCGGGGAAACGTGGGTGGCCAGACTCTTCCTGGGCTAGAACTCGGGATCCCTGCCAGCTACCCGTGCTGGGACAGACTCACGCCCCCAAAATGCAGATGTACAGAGGAGACTTGGGGAGAGCACTGGACTGGGAGTCCTTGGGCCTACACTGAACTCTGTCTGACTTTGTGACCTTGAAGAAGCTTCTTTCCTTTCCTGAGCCCTGGATTTCTACTCAGTTGGGTCCTCTGGTGTGAGGGTTCTTGGTACGTGACTCCAACCCCGGGCTGGAAATGGGGAATCTTCGTCTAGACAATTTGAGAGTGTGGAGAATTTATTATTGGGCACCCCGACCCAGGCAAGCCTACATATACCCTCACAATGGCATCCATCCACGGCATGCTCAGCTCAGGGAACGAGCCCTCAGATACTCCTAATCCGCCGGTTTTCAAAGGAGTTTACGAGGATCACGTGGTAGCCTGGTACAAATGCAAATGCCCCTGTGGAAGGACTGGGAAGGAGCCAGGGAAACAGCATGTTTAATAGTAGTTTAAGGCGGGGTGTCGTGGCTCACGTCTGTAATCCCAGCACTTTGAGAGACTGAGGCGGTGGATCACAGCGGTCAGGGGTTCTAGACCAGCCTGACCAACACGGTGAAACACTGTCTCTACTAAAAATACAAAATTAATCGGGCGAGGTGTGGCTCGCGTCTGTAATCCCAGCTACTTGGGAGGCTGAGGCAGGAGAATCGCTTGAACCCGGAGGCGGAGGCTGCGTGAGCACAGATTGTGCCATTGCATTTCAGCCTGGGCAACAAGCGTGAAACTTCGTCTCAAAAAAAAAAAAAAAGTAGTTTAGTTAACAGTGTTCTATTAACAGTAAATTCTGGTGGGGGGATGTTGATAAGACACACTTTGCGAGACGCTGCCATGAATTTTACAGAAGGCGCAACTGAGGTCAAGAGGGGTCCCAACACCTGGACAGTCTTCTGATGAGTTGCCAATAGAGTCAGAATTCGAACCCAGCTCTCTGGCTTCCTGCTCCAAATCCTAAACCGGAGCGGGAGGGAAAAGAGCGGCCCCTGGGTTCTGGTCGCCACTCGGCCCCGCCTGGTGGGCTCGGGCCACTGCCCTCCGTCGGGTCACGACAATGGGACCGGACCCGAAAGTTGGACCCGTCTTCAACACTGGAACCCGCCCACGCACAGCTCCACCGCGCCGCCGACTAAGATAGACCACGCCCCCGGACATCTGGTCCCCGCCTTCGAACTCCTGGGCCCCCTGGTGACACGTCTCCGTTTTGGCTGGCTACTGGGCTCCACCCTCACACCGCCCGGGCCCGGTCCCTAAAAGGCAGCTCGGAGCAAATCCCATTGGACTGGAACCATATCCCTGCTGTGACTTTAAGGAAGACCAGCAGGTCCGGGCCCCCAGGGGTCAACCGCACCCACATCTTCGCACTTCCTGCCTGTGGGCCTGCGGGCGTAGAGGGCGTGGAATTCACAGCCTCCTCTCCCATCCGCAAGGGTCTGTCTTCTGGGAGGAACCCATCCACGATGGGAACCCTGAAGGTGGGCTACGGCGTCCGCCCGAGCCTTTTCTTAAATGCGCAGGCTCCGGAAGCGGGGCGGAGCGCGCGGCGGACCGCGCGGCAGGTCACGCACATCCGAGCGTCGAGTCCTGGGCATCTTCTCTCGCAGGTGGGCGGGTGGGGTGGCCTCTCAGGCAGGTATGAACGGGAATTGGGAATCGGAACCGGGTGTTTCGTCAGCAACAGACTGGAGACCTGGCCAGTCCCGTTCTCCATAGTGCAGATGGAGAAACAGGGTTGGAGGGAGGAGACCTCGTCTGGGTCGTTAACGATGCGGTGCGTGGCTGGGAGGGAGTTTAGCCCCTGACTTCGGGCTTTGGCTCCTGGGATGGCGCGCTGGTGCACAGAGCCACTTCTGAAGTTCGGTGGACTCGGATTCGTATCCTGCCTGGGACGGTTTCTACCTGAGTGACATAGGGCAAGTCGCTTCCCTTCTCAGATCCTACTTGTATCTGAAGATGTGGCACTTAGCAGGTGCTCAGTAGCTCAATAGACGCTAGTGTGGACTTTTATCCAAGGGATAGTAAAGGGGATCAATGGTTTTTTTGTTGGTGGTGGTGGTGGTGAGACAGAGCCTTGCTCTGTCGCCTAGGCTGGAGTGCAATGGCTCGATCTCGGCTCACTGCAACCTCGCCTCCCGGGTTCAAGCAATTCTCTGCCTCAGCCTCCTGAGTAGCTGGGATTACACGCGCCTGCTACCATGCTTGGCTAATTTTTGTGATTTTAGTAGAGACGGGGTTTCACCATCTTGGCCAGGCTGGTCTTGAACTCCTCACCTTGTGATCCACCCGCCTCAGCCTCCTAAAATCCTGGGATTACAGGCGTCAGCCACCGAGAGGGACCACTGATTTTTAAACCTTCAGTTAAACTTGCTTGTGACATCTTTAAATATAAAATTGTAAATTTTTTAGTTGGCAGTTTACACTGATGTCCTGGATTATGGGTTAAATTAGAAGGAAAGTGTCAGCATACAGATCGATGACAGTACATGCAAGACGTCAGACGCAAAACTCACAATCAAGGCAATCATCTGCCCCTTGTAACATCAGTTAAGATCATGTAACATCCGGTCCCTGCTGTATGTTGAGCTGCCTCCCAAGCCTTTGATATTCATAGACTAATGCATTGCTTGCCATGGGTTTGGTGTGATTTCCCCCCATCTTATGGATTAAGAAAGTGAAATTCAGAAATAATGACTTGCTCAAGCTCATACATGCTAAGTTAGACACAGATCAGTCCTATGCCCAAATATGTGCCCTAACCTACCACCAGCCCATTTAAATTAGCAGAGACTGAGCTATGGGCTCAGCTCACTCCAGCTAAAAATGTGAAGAAAACGGCCAGGCGCGATGGTTCATGCCTGTAATCCCAGCACTTTCTGAGGCAGGTGGATCATGAGGTCAGAAGTTCAGATCAGCCTGGCCAAGATGGTAAAACCCTGTCTCTACTAAAAATACAAAAATTAGCTGGGCATGGTGGCAGGTGCCTGTAATCCCAGCTACTTGGGGGGCTGAGGCAGGAGAATTGCTTGAACCTGGGTGGCAGAGTTTGCAGTGAGCCGATCGCACCACTGCCCTCCAGCCTGGGTGATAGAGTGAGACTCCGTCTCAAAAAAAAAAAAAATGTGAAGAAAACATAAGTGGTCAAGACAAGAATGATCAAACAAGTGTGTGAGGCTCTAAATGGAGTCAAGGTGGTGATAGAGCAAGGGCACACCTATTCTCAGGCAGCGTGTTGGTGGAAGGGGGTTGTCATACAAGGCTCATCTGCTTTCCTGGTTCCTCTCACTCCCAGGGTGGCAACCAACTACATATGAGGACCAGTGCCATTTTGGGGCACCAGAGCTTGTAACCTTTTCATCTCTACCCAGCTGGGGCCAGGAACCACTCTCAGCACCCACCTCAGCAGCCGACATCATTAGGCAGAATTGGGAACCTGGAAGCACTCTGGAGAACCTTTTTCTGAGACATGGAGCTTTGGGGCCGAATGCTATGGCCCCTCCTGTCTGGCCCAGGGAGGAGGGGAGGTATCCGGGGCTGGGCCTTCAGCTCATGGCAACCCCATCCACCTCTGGCTGGGTTATCCAGTGCCACAGAACTGGTCAACCACTGGACAAGGGTCTTTGAGAAGAAAGGTGTCCCTGAGGCCCGGGAATCCAGTGAGTACATCGTGGCTCATGTCCTTGGAGCCAAAACAGTTAAGTTCAGTGTTGTCAAGAGGGCAGGAAGAGGGAGGAGGGAGGACCTCAGGGAAGAGATATCCAAGTTTTCTGCCCACTAAGAGTGCTTAGCTGAAACTGATAGGATTTTTCTGGAGGAACATCTTAGTGCCTGTCACACACTGTAACAGTTTGTTGGATGAATGAATAAATCTCTGCCTAGGTTTTTAGGGATAGACACCTGGAGGCCTGGTATTAGCTGTTTAACCTTGGGCAGGATGCTGCCCCTCTCTGGGACCAGATGATGAGAGGGTTGGGCCTCCATACCAGTGCTGGGCAGGCATTATCCACATAAGACACCTGGGTTGGGGACCCCGGGCCCAGTGAGCCAGCCACTTACATTCTCTCTGGGGACAGTTTCAGAGCCTGAGGCCAGCACTTCGGACCCAGCACTTGACCTCTCAGCAACTACAGTATATCCAGGAGCTGAGTAGCCGTCGACTACAGAGGTGAGCACCCATGAATCAGACCTGAAGAATGTGTTTGGGGAGGGCAGTCCAGCCTCCTCCATCCCCGCCAAGTTCAGGGAGGAGGAGTTGTCCAAGGAGTAGGGAGGTGTTGGGGTACAGAAGTGACAAGAGTGGGGCCCAGGTAGTAAATAGGAAGAAGGGAACAAGGGAAGGCTTTGCCCCAGGAGTCCCAAGGCGTTGGAGACATGGTCTTGCCTGATACTTTGGCCGCAAGTGGTGTCTCTCAACCCAGGCATGGTCCTGTTGGTCCTGGCTCTGTCACTGATGACCACCCGGCTGCCCCCTCTGCAGGATGCCCGTGCAGTACATCCTTGGAGAGTGGGACTTTCAGGGGCTCAGCCTGAAGATGGTGCCCCCCGTGTTTATTCCTCGGCCAGAAACAGAGGTAGGTGTACCACCAGGGCAAAGCAGGATCAAGATGAAGGTGGCGTTCAGGGCACCAGTCTTGCCCCAGGTTTCCTCCAGGGGGCACTGGGGCCCCATGACTGCTATCTTCACGGACAGTGCCTTTCTAGACATATATCTCCTTGCTGACTGTATTGGCAGAGCCCAGAAGACAGAGGATTCCTGTTGGTCCCCTTGACTATTCTCATGTTCCAAGCTATCACCCCAGCCTCCAGGTCTGGCAGTGGCCCAGAGTGCCTCAAATAGTGCTGTTCAAGTACTTAGCCTGTTCCTGCCATTTCTCTGGGAGCTGTCCTGTGGGCCCATGGCTCACCCAACCCACAGAGAACCAGTGCCCTCCAGCAGCTTCTCAGGAGGCATGGAGGAAATGGAGAGAGCTCCAGCCAGACAGCTGGAGACCCTGGTATCAGCTATGCGACTTCAGGCAGATCACTGCCCTCTGGACCTCTCTGGACCCATAAGATGAGAGGGTTAGACCTCCAGACCAGAGAATCTGGTGGCCCTCTTAGGTCTGCTGACTGGTCTGGTAATCTGTGTCATCCCTCAAATTCCTAGGACTTGGGATGTGTGGCACAAGTGTGCTATCCCTTGGTAAGGCACACTGGTCCTGGAAAAGATGCTTTCTTTTTTTTTTTTTTTTTTTTTTTTGTGAGGGAGTTTTTTTTTTTTTTTTTTTTTTTTTTTTTTTTTTTTTTTTGAGACGGAGTTTCACTCTTGTTACCCAGGCTGGAATGCAATGGCGCGATCTCGGCTCACCGCAACCTCCGCCTCCTGGGTTCAGGCAATTCTCCTGCCTCAACCTCCTGAGCAGCCGGGATTACAGGCACGCGCCACCATGCCCAGCTAATGTTTTGTATTTTTTAGTAGAGACGGGGTTTCACCATGTTGACCAGGATGGTCTCGATCTCTTGACCTCGTGATCCACCCGCCTCGGCCTCCCAAAGTGCTGGGATTATAGGCGTGAGCCACCACTCCCGGCCGGAAAAGATGCTTTCTATGGCCCTTCTTGGACTTCCCTCTGACCTTTAGGTGGCAGAGCTGGGAGCCAGATGGCGCAGACCAGGGAGTAGAGCTGGGTGAGAGCTGGTGGGCAAGCCAGAGGGCACTAGGTTCTGAGAAGGAATTTCTAGAAAGACCCAGGCACACAAACATTTCTGGGAAAGGTTAGTTTCCATCCACCTGCTGCAGCCCAGGGGTCCCAAACCCTTCCTTCACTTTCCCAGCTTCTGTTCCCCTAGCCAAGAAACTCTCTGACCCCTCTCCCCTCCATATCATGTGGTTGGGAGGCCAGGTCCTTTCTTCACTGCCCAGTGTCAGGATGGGGACAGTAGAGAATCTGAGGCCTTGCTGAAATCACAGGGCTGTCAAGGAGGGGAGCATGGGGGCAGCACTTGGATTTCCTGACTCCCAGGTCAGAGCGCCATGCCTCACATGGGGCTGCCCCATCTGCAATTGGCATGACCTAGGATGCAGTATGGAGACCCAGAGCAAGGTGTGGCCTGCCACCAACAGGCTTTGGGAGGCCATCCTGTGGCTCCCCAAAAACACGATCTCTGGTGAGATCATTTGCTGTCTTCAGCTGCCCAGGATCAGGGCATGGTCACCTTTGCGTTCCTTCAGAGCTGGCCTGGCTCCAGCCATATGTGCCAGGGTTCTGAGTATCAAGTGTGGACTTTGGCTCCCATGTGGCCCCCTGATTCTTGGGTGAGTCTGGGCCAAGATAGCAGCTCTACTGCAAGGGGTGAAGTGAGGGGAGATGCTACGGTTGAGAGGCCAGGTGCTCACCTCACTGTGCAGACATTTCTGAGAACTCACCAGGTTCACCCCAATGTAAAGCCACATTGGGGGATGCCTTACCAAGAAGTCAAGAGGACGTGGCCTGTGGCAGGGAGTGGTGAGCATGGGTGTGGGAGATGGTTTCTGATGAAGGGGAGTCTGAAGTGCAAACTTGCAGGAAGCATGTGACCCAGTGAGTTGGATTTTCCCTAGGGGTGAGAAAGTGGTTCAGCCCCAGGCCTGGCAGTGCATACAGTAGGAAACTCAGGGCTGGGGGTGTGAGCCATTCTCACGCAGCCTGGTGTGAGGCTGTACAGGGTGTGGAAGGCTCAGTGTTTTGTCTGTGATTGGCTTGAAGGAGGCAATGCCACCTCTCTGGGGCTGCCCCACCGTAGAGGGTACTCGTGGCACTCCAGTTCTGCTGAGGCCTTGGGCCAACCTCTTGATGGGGTATGGAGTCCATGTTGGGGCAGCAGTTCTAGGCAGAGCTGCCAACTACCTGCCCCTCACCGCCTTCCTGCATGCCCCTGCCCCTCGGCCCCACCCTGTTCTTGATTCTTCCCATATTCATCTGGAGGGGGTGCCCTGAGCCTGTGACCAGCTTGGTTTTCAGTCTCCCCAAAAGAGCCACTGGTATCAGGCTGAGGGAGGCTCTTCACTGGGCAAAGAAGAGAGTTTCTGGACTTCTTAGGCTGTTCTTTACCCCTGCCCCAAGATGGGGCACGACAACCAAGATGAGCCTCCTGTGGTCTGGAGCATTATGGCAAGCAAGAGGCCACTACTGGTGGCAGAGTCTCAGTCTCTCAGTTTCTCACCCTCCCCAAGGTGGCCATCCACGTTTGTGGTGTGTGTCTTTGAGGTCGTGAGTATCTCTATGAGGTGGCTGGCCAGTGTGGCTGGCTGAGGGGTCATTCTCCAGCCAGAGTAGGTCTGTCTATGGCCAGGAAACCAAGAGAGGCTCACACACCTGGCAAGTCCTGGTCACCCTGCCAACCTCTCAGCATGTGGCCTCACCACTGAGACCACAGGCTTTCAGTCAACAGCCCTACACTGCTCACTCTGTACCTGCCCCAACCCTGCAGGCCCAGCTTGCCACAGGTGCCCTAGTGGTCTCCACTAGTGCCTGGCACAGGGCTGGTGAGAGCTAGTAAATCCACGCCCTCTCCTGTGGGCCCCCTCACCCACAGGCAATCACTTGTTTGGTGTAGAGGAGGCTTGGAACAGGGTGGGATGGACCTGCTGGCCAAGTTCTGCCTGCCTTGGACTTGCCACCCTCTGGGTGGATGAAAATTGTTGCTGGGGTTGGGGACCTGGAAGGGTGAGATGCTTTTTGGAACCCAGCACTGGGGAACTTATATGGAAAGAAGTGTGAGTGATCTGGAGCCCTTTGCTCCACTGAGCCTGGCTGATGGCATTGGGGTGTAGGGGAGACCTGGGGATATGAGACACAGAGGGTAGTGCCACAGAGAGTTTGCCCAGCACTTAGAAAGTAGCCAAGAGGTATGTCTGTGGGCCAAGCCATGCCAGTGTGGGATGTACTGCTGTGAGTTGGGCCTCAGGTCTTCCCGTTATGGAGTCTGGTGGGAGAGGCAAACCCCATCCTAGACGTTAGGCTCAGGGTGGGGAGAGCTGTGGTAGAGGGAGCCTGGCCCAGGCTTAGGGAAGATTTTCTGGAAAAGGTGGGCCTCTTTTCAGATCAGGGAAGCACCCACTTGCTGCCCACCGTCCCCAGTTCCCTGAGCCAGTCTTTCCTGACAATTGGGATCTCAGGAGTCCTGACCCTCTGGGGGGCCCCTCTGTCCACATCCAAAGGGATGCCTTTGAGATGGGGCTAACTGCCCTTTCCTTGCTCCACGCCTGGGTACTCAGGTGTCCAACTCCACTGCTGGTTAGAAACATTTCGGCCATTGGACAGCAGGAGCCCTCCACCCTTCACCCCTACCCTATGTTGGTTTCCAGGCATAGTCCTTGCAGGCAGTGGCTTGGTGAACAAGGCTCGAAACCCTCTTGTTTCCAAAGTGACAGTGTCTGAAAATGTCCTCCTGCTGCCAAGGCAGGTACAGTGCAGTCAGGCACCTCCCTCTGCACCCGTGCCTGTGGACCCGTTCCTGTGTGCCACAGCCCTCATCAGGTATAGAATTTAGTCAGGACCATGTCCCCCCATGGTCCATTCCCTCCAAAGGAGGGAATTTCCTGTCCCTTTGGCTAGGAGCCTCCCTGGGGTCCTCTCAAGCTCAGCTCTGTGAGGAGGCTGCTTGCCACCATGAGCCACAGGCCAGGCTCAGGTGGGGCCTTGACCCTAGGCCTCAGTCTCCTCATGGGACAGTTGTGAGGATTTAGCAGATTATACAGGAAAAGCTCTGGGAGCAGCGTCAGGCCAGAGGCAGTGGCCAGGAACTATCAGATACGGTTCTTAGCTTTTATTTATTTATTTTTTTTTGAGATGGAGTGTTGCTCTGGTTCCCAGGCTGGAGTACGGTGGCGTGATCCCAGCCTACTGCAACCTCTACCTCCCAGGTTCAAGCAATTCTCCCACCTCAGCCCCTGAGTAACTGGGACTACAGGCACCTACCACCACACCCAGCAGATTTTCGCACTTTTAGCAGAGATAGGGTTTCACCATGTTGGCCAGGCTGGTTTCAAACTCCTGACCTCAAGTGATCTGCCCGCCTCAGCCTGACAAAGTGTTGGGATTACAGGCATGAGCCACCACTGCTGGCTGGTTCTTAGCATTCTGTAAGCACAGAATGGGAGGATGTCTGTAAAGGGTTTAGCTGGGGTTTATTGAACACTTACTGTGAAACAGGTGCAGATTCATGCATTTAATCCCTACCATGTCCCCACAAGGTGGGCTATCCTCAACTGGGCTCAGTTGTATAGATGGGAAAGCTGAGGCCTGGAGGGCCAAGGGTGACTTGGCCATGGCCCAGCTGCCGTGAAGTTGTCTGGCTTTGGCTACTTCCCCTTCCTATGTTCACACAGGGCTAACTGCTTTGGCCTCTGTATCAAGACTCCCAGGAGCCATGTTGGCACCAACTCTGATCCAGTCCCCTCTGCTTCACAGGAACTGGTTGAATGGGTGCTGGAAGAGGTGGCCCAGAGGTCCCATGCTGTGGGATCCCCAGGCAGCCCCCTCATTCTGGAGGTGGGCTGTGGATCGGGAGCCATTTCCCTCAGCCTGCTGAGCCAGCTCCCCCAGGTGAGCCCCTCCACCCACTCTGGGTAGACTGTGACTGACACTCACTGTCCCTCCCATTAGCGCTTCCCCCACATCCCTCTGCTAGGAGCACTTGAGGGGAAGCAGCTAGATGAGGGAGGACAGGGCTGTCCTCAGCCCAGTGTGGCTCACAGACTCTAACTCCTACCACATCTGTCTGGCTAGACTTTGGCCAAGAAGAAAAGGCTGTTGGGTATTTCCCTTCTCTTCTGGTGGAGGGTTGGAGGAGGGTGCCCCAGGCCCAGTATCTCCCAGCATTGCCTTCCGCATACCCTCTGGTTGTTCTTGGGACAGAGCCGAGTCATTGCTGTGGATAAGGGAGAAGCCGCCATCTCTCTGACCCGTGAGAATGCTCAGAGGTAGGTGGGAGAGTTGTACTTTGGGGTCTGATCTTGACTCCTTTTCAGGTTTCAATCTAACCAATCTCTGATTTCTACTCCCAAGAAGGAGGAAGCAGTGGGAGTAGCCTGGCATGGGTCCCACAGGATTCTGAATGGGTAGTGGGCAGTGAGCATCTTGCCAGTCCAAGAAGGGTTGGCCACAATACCTCACTCCTGTAGCCAAGGGTAGGGGTCTGCCCCCGTGCTCACCCCTTTCTCTCCATCTGTCCAGGCTTTGGTTGCAGGACAGGATTTGGATCATCCACCTTGACGTGACCTCAGGTACCCTCCCCTACATGCTCCTTGAGGTGGGAGCTTAGGTATAGGTGCTGTTGGGTGGATGAGGCACTCTGCAGAGATGGAAGGAGGGCTTCCCCAAAAGCCACTCAGCCACACCCACAGTGTGTGTGTGCACATGTGTGGCAGCCCAAACTAGGCCTTGCTGAGGACAGCCTCCTAGGTTGACTGGACTCATAGGGACCAGCCACAGACAACTTATGAATTCATCATAACTAGTGAGTTAAGGGCTTGCTTGTTGGCAACAGATAAGCAAAAGCTTAAAATAATGCCTTTAGGATCAAATGCTTGAGTGCCCTTCTCCCCCACCTGTCTTGGCACTGCACAGCTCAGCCATCGCCTTTAGAGTGTCCAGCTCAGCCATAGCCTTCATAATGTTTGCAGACCTCCAACTCCAGTTCTGCCTCCATCGCCTTACCCATGGGATCCTTGAGCCTCACGTGCCCCCTCCATGGAGTATGATATACTTGGTATAGCACCTGGCACAGAGTGAAACCGATAGTCAGAACCATCAGGAATTGGCTGATGAGGCCAGACCTGCCCTCCATGTACTCTCAGTCCATGTTGGCTATAAGGCTAGTGGCGCTTCAGAAGAGAAAGGCTCTTTCCTGCCTAAGCAATCGGGGAGGACGCCCTGGAAGTCTTGAATGGAGTCTTGCATAACAAGGAGGATTTTTGGCAAGGACCCTCTAGGTCTTAAAATGAAGGGCTGCCATGTTAAAGCACGCACATTCCCCACTAGGCTGTCAGCCAGGGACCCTGGGCAGTGATTTGCAAGTCTGACTTATCAGATCTAGAGGCAGGCCCAAGGTGTGGCTTGATGAGAGGGACATGGTGGCAGGTGGAGCTACTATCCTTTACCTCCCAATGGATTAGTCCCTACTATGTTTTCTTCTTTGGCCACAGAAGGGAGCTGGACACACCTGCCCTGGGGCCCCGTGGACCTGGTCGTCAGCAACCCTCCCTACGTCTTCCACCAGGACATGGAGCAGCTGGCCCCCGAGATCCACAGGCAGGTGCTAAACAGGGTGGGCCAGGGAGGCAAGGCCTGAGAAGGCCTAATGGGATTGGTCTGCCCTCAAGGACCATACCATCTGGAGGGACAGGGGGGCTGGTGCTGAAAAAGGCGCAGTGGATGCACTCCAGAGCCCACAATCCTACCTAGATTCCACTTCTACCTTCCTACTTAAGACTACTGGATAGCCACTGAACCTCTGGGCCTGTTTCCTGCCTCTGATAAAAGAGAGGTAGTGCTCTGCAGGGCTATGGGAGGACTCAGTGGTGACTTGAAAGCATCAGACACAGTGCAGGGCCCATAGGGGGCACTCAGTAGATGGGCATGTCATTTTATAGAAGACAGGCCCAGTGAGGGAAGGTGTCTTATCTAGGGTCACATGGGGGCTTAGTGGGAAAGCTGGGACTAAACTTGGCTTTGCACTAGGCCATCCTCCCCTTACACAAGGGCTGAGAACCAGGGACAGCTCCGGAGTCCTGGATGGGGCAGCAGTCATGTGGGATGGGGTTGGGGTGTTGGTTCTCCCTTTCTGGGCCCACAGGAGTTGTCAGGGATAGCACTAGATCTCCTAGATCAAGAAGAGGAGCAGCCTATGGGAAGGCACTCATGCCCTGACATGAGTCAGCCTGTCAGGAGGGGCCACCAGCCAATGGGACTCAGTAAGCACACCTGGTGCTGCCCATGGGAGGAAGGGAAGAGGAACTGCCACTAATTTGGGGGCCACCTTCTCTGGGTCCTCAGACTTGCCCTTCAGCCCAGAGTGTAAGTTCCATGGGGCCCCATTCGTGGAAACTCTGCCAACACCCTCCATGCATTTCGAATACCCTTCCCTCAGGCTGTCATCTCCCACTGCTTTCCCTTTCAGCTATGAAGACCCCGTAGCCCTGGACGGTGGGGAAGAGGGCATGGACGTCATTACCCACATCCTGGCCCTGGCACCCCGGCTCCTGAAGGACTGTGGGTATGAATAGGATGGGTCTCCTAGGTCTGCCCCAAGCAGCCGCCTCTGCTCCTAGTGTGTACTGGGCAGGCCCTAGCAGAAGTGAGCACAGGACCCTCACCTCGCCAGCCCAAGCCGCCCAGAATGTCAGGTCCCAGCCCTGTCCTGCTGAGCCCACCCATTTCTCCCCCATGCAGGAGTATCTTCTTGGAAGTGGACCCGAGGCACCCGGAGCTTGTCAGCAGCTGGCTTCAGAGCCAGCCTGAGCTGTACCTTAATCTTGTGGCTGTGCGCAAGGACTTCTGTGGGAGGTGAGGTCCCACCCTCCTTTAGCCCTGTAGCACGCTAGTCTTTCCACTGGGGCCATCCTCAGCCCTGGCTGTGGGGAGAGAGTGCTGTTCCCACTCCCTGCTCCCCAGGGCCCAGGCAGTAACCAGCCCCTTGCTACTGTCTCCTCAGGCCCCGGTTCCTGCATATCCGGAGGTCTGGGCCATAGCATGGCTTCCCTGTGGATGCCTTGTCAGTGCCCCCAGCCTGACCAGAGGGAGGTGGATGGCACTTTCCAGAACCCAGGTGCTTATGGCATTTCCCATGGTTCTATGATTTCCCCATGTTCTGCATTTCTAGGGCATTCCTACCACACCTGGGTAGACCCAAGTTCTCTGTCTGGCTCCATCACATCAGGGTGGCCGAGGACAGTTGCTCTGTGTTGGTGAAATTACTGTGGGGGTGTCGGGGGATATAGCCAGTAAAGTACTGAAAGACTAACAAATGGTGACCTAATGTTTTGTTCCATGACTTGCAGGTCCCCTGACCCCTTACTCTCAGGTAGTGCTGGGGTGAAAGTTTCCTTCTGCCCCAGCTGGGCTGGCTTGGTAGAGGTGTGGGAGTGCAGCGTGGAGGAAGGCACATGAGTGCTCACTCCTGGCCTTGGATACCATGGGGCCTGGCATAGAGCACCTCACTCCCAGGGGTTGATCAGTCCTCCCCTGCCCTGGGTGCATGCACACATACTTCCCTGGCTAAGCCTGGCTCGGAGCACAGGAAGCTCATCTGCCCGTCAGCTCAGGGATGACTTCTTGCTGCCTGGAGGTCCTTGCTGCACGGTTCTTGGGTCACACATCCACATTCATTTAACTGAAGCTTGAGCCAGTGAGGGGTGAGCAGGGCTTTTGTTTTCTTTTTATCCCCATTGCTTTTAGTTAAAACATCCCTTCCGAGTTGACACCCTGGGGTTTCAGATAACTCTTGTGTCCCTGGTTGGGGCTGGGGAGAATGAGAAGCTGAGAGATGGGGCACAGGGTTCTGGCCTCCACCACAGCCCTGGTCTGTGCAGACTCATGGTCACCAGGAGCCCTGAAGATCCAGCCTTCCTGTCAACAGCGACAGGAAATCTCTAGGTTGGTGAGTGCTAATGGTGTGAGCCTACATCAGGGTGAGTCCTAAGGAGCATGGCAAACCAGGCCAGCTCATTCCACCAGACTGCCCCCTGCTGCCCTGGCACTTCCAAGGGCCTGGCAGTGTGGTCTGATGGGTAGCATTCTCTGCGGGAGCTGGAGAGCTGAGTTCCAGGAGAGTGTCCTGCAGTGGGACCTTGGGCAGCTCCTTTCCCTGTGAGAAGCTGGCTCTTCTGAGTCCCAGGCCAATGCCAAGTGACAGCGTCTTTACTCTTAGCCAAGTGGGATGTGCATGCTGGTGTCTGAATTCTCCAGAGAGAATGGACATTCAGACACCAGCATGACCAACAGAAGGTGTGGCCTGCCCAAGGTCCCATGATAGTGGCCAAGTGGAGACAGTAGGTTAGATCCCTGCCTTTGGGGAGCCTGTATTGCTAGAGTCATACGCAGCCTGAGTGTTGCCCTGCACTATGGCTGGAGGACACATTTGGCAGAGGGTCATGCTGCAGTTCCCAGCGCCCCAGGGTCCTGCCCTGTGCCCAGCCCCAGCTGCATGGACCCTGAACTGCCCGTGGCTTTCTTTGAGAAGGCTGATCCAGAAGGAACCCGGGTGGGGAAGGCAAAGGGGGTGCGCAACCAGGGTGAGGCTCCCCACTTCCTGTGCCTCCCGTGTTTACAGACCTTTGCCTGCTATGGTCCTCACCAGTATTGCCCCTTCTCTCTTCCTCCGTGTGCCCTTTGGCTCTTGCTGTCTTCAGCAGCATCTCAGGGCAGCTGCCCTGATCCTGGAGCAGTTTGTCGCCCCCCACACCTCAGCCAGTCCTGGCATTCCTGATGGTCTCACCCTCCTGGCCTCAGGCCCATTCCTGAGGAAGGGCCTTGGCAAGCTTGTGGATGTTGCACTGGAAGAGAGTACTGTGTTGGGAAGTGACAGTGTCGGGGAAGCTGGGGCCATGAGCAGAAGCCATCCTTGGGGACAACTTTCTGCCCAGAAAAACGTGTGGCTTGACTCTGCTGGGGAAAAGGTCCAAGCCAAGTGGACTGGCAGGCGGGGCCTGAAGCCTACAGACACTGGCTTGATTGGGTCCTAGACGTTGAGCCCTGATGTTGGAGCCACACCAGATTCACATCCCAGAATCTGCCCCTCACCAAGATGTGACCTTGGGCAGATGACTTCACCTCACTCAGCCAGCGTTGGCTTCTAAGGCTGAGAAATGGGACTAAATGCATTATTTTATAGGATGCATTTGAGGAGCCCATGGAATGTGCCTGGCTTGTCACATTGTGGCACTTTTCCTTGCCTTCCTCGGAGGGCAGACACAGAGAAGGAGGGCCCAGTGCCCTCAGGCGTCCGTCTGATGCTTGGGGCCAACATAAGGCAGGCAGGGACACAAAGCAGTCTGGAAAGGAGGGAAGGCAGGGGTTTCAGTCTTGCGCTCTTGAATCCTCACTGTTATCTAGAGATGGAGCCAGCAGGCTGATAGCATGGCACCCCACATCTCCCCTCAGCCCTTCCTCACTAGGGCCCCAATGCCTTGAGGCCTAGGCCAGGGCAGACAGTGGCTCCAGCTCAGGGAAAGCTAGGCTCACCTACCCTATCCCCTCACTTGCTCCTGAGGCCAAAGCCAGTGACTCAGAACTGACCCCCCAGCACATGTCAAGGGGCACTTGCAGGTAGAATGGGAGGAGGACATGGAACTGATGGTGGAATCCAGGCTGTGCAGGCCGCTAAAGTCTTGAGATATGTGCCTACTGCCCATGTAGCCTCCTTCAGCCACAGCCCAGAGCACAGACAGGAGTGTAGGCTTCCGTTTGATGTACTCCGGGAACATAATTCTATCTCCTCTTCAGATAGTTGGGGAAACAGGCCATGTCTCACAGTTGGATGCTTTTCCCAGTTGTCAATGGATTTCTCCATGGGACTCATCCAGCTGCCTTATTAAAATATGCCCCCAACCCCCTAAATGCAAGGAATATACTCTTTTTTGCTCCCTCACCCCTACCTGGACCCTGAGCCAATAGCTGCTCCCAATCCCTGCCCTAAACACTTGGCTGGCTTCCCATGACTTAAGTGTGTTCTCTTGTGTCCTACGGAATCCAGTTCTGAAGAAGTCAGGGGGGACAACTGTGGGAAAAGCTCTGGGCGTCCCTTACAAGGCCCCATCATGCTCTTGAGTAGGCTGCCATCAAAACATAGGGTTATACTGTGGACAAGGTTTGAGAACTGCCGGCTTGAGGTGGGAACCCCTTTAACCTCTGCCGGGCAGCATGTCTTTCCCTGTCCAGCTTCACTTCTTTTTCTCTCTCATTTTTCTTTATAGCCTCCTTTTGAATGGTTTATTTTCTCTACTGCCCTGGGCTTCAGCCTTTGTACGACACTCTTCATGCCCTGAGCACACACCTTCCCTTTGCCCAGGCAGTGCAGACCATTGCCACTTTCTTTCTTTCTTTTTTTTTTTTTTAATATATGTAAACTGCTTCACATCTTTTCCATCCCCACTTTCAAGCAACAACACAAACACTGCCTCCTTTAGGACACCTGACCTGCTCTGTGCTCTCCCTGCCTCCCCTGCACCAGTGACTTTCTGTCCCATGCCTTCAGAAACGTTTTTTTTGAGACGGAGTTTCACTCATGTTACCCAGGCTGGAGTGCAATGGCGCAACCTTGGCTCACCGCAACCTCCGCCTCCTGGGTTCAGGCAATTCTCCTGCCTCAGCCTCCTGAGTAGCTGGGATTACAGGCACGCACCACCATGCCCAGCTAATATTTTGTATTTTTTTAGTAGAGACGGGGTTTCACCATGTTGACCAGGATGGTCTCGATCTCTTGACCTCGTGATCCACCCGCCTCGGCCTCCCAAAGTGCTGGGATTACAGGCTTGAGCCACTGCGCCCGGCCCAGAAACCTTCTTATCCCCCCCACCTCTGGAGGCCCCTGTGGGTCTGGCATACCCAAGTTCAGTAAATGTCTACCAGTAAGTTAACTGTGCATACATTTTCTAGAATAGAGCTGAGACTTCCCATGTGGCCCACATCTGAAGGGCCATGTATTCTGGTCATTAGGGAGAGAAAGACATGAGGACCTGGCCTTCTGCCCAACCCAGGCAGCTGTTCAAGTTGGACGATGGCTGGTTCAAAGACTCAGGTGCACCTGATCCGTGTGCGGCAGCCACGACAGAACAGGCTGTCCTTGGCGGCCGTAGGGGCAGGCGCCAGGTTTCCTGGAGCTCTTGGCTTCAGCCAGCCCCCAGCAAGAGTGCCGGCTAGGACAGCAACCTGATCTCCCCCTCATGACCTTCCGCCCTGGACAAGCCCCCTGAAACTGGCTTTGGGACTGTCAAAGCAAATCAACCCCTGCTCTGGTAGGCCGAACAATGACTCCCCGCCCCCCGCCCCCAAAAATGGCAGTGTCTTAATCACCTAAACCGAAATGTGACTGTTACCTTCGCATAGCAAAATGGAATTTGCAGTTGTGATTAAGGATCTTGAGATAGAAAGAGTATCCTGGATTTTTCAGGTAAACTGAGTAAAACCACAAGGGCCTCTGTAAAGAAGGAGGCAGGAGTGTCAGAGTGATGGAAGAAAATGTAACAATAGAAGCAAAGGTCAGAGTGATGCAATTGCTGGAGGAAGAGCCATGAGCCAAGGAATGCAGACAGCCTCTTCTCCCCTGGGGCCTCAGGAAGAATGCAGTCCTGCCAACGCCTTGATTTTAATTTGAAACCGATTTCAGATTGCTGACCTCCAGAATAGTAAGATGATAAATTTGTGTTGTTTGTTGTTTTCAGCCACTAAATGTGTGACAATTTGTTACAGCAGCCAGGGGAATCGAATGCAGATTGTGGTGCCTAAAGTAGAGTGCTGCTGTAACACGTGCCTACAAATCGAAGTGGCTTTGGAATTGCATTATGGAAATGAGCAGAGGCTGGAAGAATTTTGAGGATCATGATAAATTGCCTTAACCACATCTCTTCTGTTAGGTGATGTGGCCAGGGGAACGCTTCCGCAACCTTCAGGCCTAAACTGCCCAGGCACCCTTTTTAAACTCATATTTGGGGACAGGTGGCCCTTTCCCAGAGTGAGAAGACTGGAAGACTGACCAGTATGGACCCCAGAAGGGAGTGGCTGAGGAATGGGACTGGGATGTGAGGAGAGAGTGCAAGCCTGGCCTCCATGATCCATCTCCAGAGACTGGGTCCAGAGAGGACCTCGGAGACTGGGACCAAGCCTGTTCCTGCTCTTCTGTGGAGCTATGTGACTGGCCCAGGACCCCTTGGGTGTGTGAGGATGGGTAGGGGCCCTGTACTCTCTGGGTTGCAGGTACTGCATCTGTGAAATGAGCACAGCAGCCCCTGACTTTGAGCTGATGGGCCTGGCCCCTCCATGTAAGCCATAGGCCTGAGCAAAGCTGTGTCACCATTCTGTTCCTATGGTGGAATGGGGCCATCTCTCGGGTTTTCAACCTCCTGGTCCCCAAAACTGAAGTGTCCAACTGGTGCCCTCAGCCCTGTCCCTGTCCAGGCTGGGACTAGGACCTCCCTCTCCAGGGGTACTAAGGGACTCTGGAGACACCATCGCACCTGGCAAAGGCTTGGGGCTCCTAAAGCCAGCCCTAACCCAGGAGCCACATGAAGAGCTACTGGGAGGCCAGACATGGGCCTCATGCTGGTTTTCAGAACTGAGAAGCTAGGAGACAGACAGCATGGACACCTGGGTTCAAGCTTGGCCCAAATCACCTGAATACACTTTGGATGAAGCCAGGAGGGCCTGTTTATACTGGAATGAGTGGATCATGGCAAGACTTACGTTCAATCCCTGATCTTTTTTCCCGGAGAGGGACAGGGCTTACTTGAAGTAACAAAGCACTTGACTCCTGACTCCCAGTATTGTGCTCTCATCTCCCATTGCTTCCAAGGGCCTCTGGTTAGTTAATTGAGTTAAATACGGGGTGCTTATATGGGTGTTCATGTAGCTACTAAACCCAGGGATTCTGGCCCATAAAGCCCACTGGGCTAGTTTCATGGGCAGGTAACAGCCACATTAGGCCAACTGTAGCCCCTGGGTGTTTGGACAGATCAAACCAGAGCTGTGGGAGGACAGCAGGATTTCCCTCTTGCAGAATGAGTGGGTGCCTTCCCCTCTGAGGGAACTGGCTGTATAGCCCCCAGCCTCTGCCCCCCAGGGCCCTCCTGAGGTATCTGGAAGGACCTTTGGGATCTTTGGCCTCATAACCAGGAATCAGAAACTTCCAATTCTAGGGCCCCCTTTTCTTCCAAAGACCACCTCATACACACAACAGTCCTACAGGAAAATGGTCAGGAAAGGCCAATTTTACAGCTCACAAAGTGGGAAAGGCAGGGAAGCCTACCTCAGTGTCACTGAAAGCCCTGAACTGAGCTGACCTTTTAGGCACCTGCTCCAGCCATGCCTAAAGCGGGAGAGTGAGAGAGCTCAGAGCAGCCCTGCCCCATGGTAGACAGGCCTGGCTAAGTGGCCCCCTTCCCAGGGGCTGGGGTCTTTTCCAGATGCTCTGCCTCTCAGAGCAGAGGATGTCACCTTATTGCCCCCTCTTGTACTAGGTCTGCAGCCCTCTTCTGGGGCATGTGGCTTGGGAAATGGAGGGATCAGATATCCCCTACTGAGCCCAGGGAGCAGATTGTTGGTACCTGAAGTACTCAGAGATCCTTGTGCTACAAATGAGGAAACTGAGGCTTAGCAGGACGGGGGCAGGGCTGGGGCAGAAAGGAAGCTGCCAGTCCTTCCTTTGCCACCTGAAGACCCCCACCCCACCTTGCTTTCCAGGAATAGGCTCGCTTGCCTGGAGAGGCGGCCAAGTCCCTCTGCTGTTCCTGGAAGTCAATGTGAGGCTAAGCTTTGTGAGCTAGCAGAGCAAACCCTGAGCTGGCACTGCAGGAGCTTCGTTGCTCTCATACCTCAAAGCTAGGTGAGGGATCTGGACAGCCTGCCTGGCCTTCCTCCACCTCTTTGCCTTTTGAGCTCCTGCTAGGCACTGGGCCGCAAGCAGATGTTTTGCATTTATTAGTTTTAAATCTCACACAGCCCTACAGTTAGGGGTTATTTATTTTATTTTATTTTGATTTTTCTAGAAATGAGGTCTTGCTGTGTTGCCCAGACTGGGCTCAAACTCCTGGGCTCAAGCAATTCTCCTGCCTTAGCCTCCCAAGAAGCTGAGACTATAGGTGCCTATCACTGTACCCGACAGATGGGGGTTTGGGTTTTGTTCGTTGTTTGTTTTTTTGAGACAGGGTCTTACTCTGTCTACCAGGCTGGAGTACATTGGCATGATTACAGCTCAGCTCACTGTAGCCTCGAACTGTTAGGCTCAAGTGATCCTCCCACCTCAGCCTCCTGAGTAGCTGGGAATACAAGTGCAAACCACCCTGCCTAGCTAATTTTTATTTTATTTTTTGTAGAAACGGGGTCTTGCCATGTTGCCAGGCTGACACATGGGCTTTTTAATTGTCTCCACGTTGCAGTTGAGGACACCAACACTCAGCAGGGTGCAGTTATGGGTCAGGTTGCACAGCTGGACTGGAAGGGAGGATGAGGCTGCCATTGGTGCCCATTTGACTCTCAGAGACACCGAGGCCAGCATAACTAAGTCTTGGGCTGTCCCCTACAGAGATTACTGCAGAAGACACTTGGGCTTGTGGACCCTTGGAACAGGAGCAGAGGTTTCCAGGGCTGTCCCTAGAGGGCTTTCTAGAAGACCTGCAGCTGCTTCTGGGTGCGTCTCCTGAGGTATAGGGCCAGGGACTCCATCTTTCAAGCCCTACTATGTGTCAGGCACCTGGGGGATGATACCAAGTGGAGGGTCCTATAGAATATGGTGCATCCTTTGCCAAGTACTTCCAGGGTTATCTTACTCAACCTCTATGACACCCTGAGAGATGGAGGCTGTGAACCCCCTCATTATACCGAAAAGGAAACAAACAGGCCAAGAAACTTGCTTATATGCTGGCTGAGCTGTGATTCTGACACAGGTCGAGTGACCTGGAGCTGGAGGCCTTGATCGTCACACCAGGCTTGAGGAGGGGTGGACAGGACAGCCATATACCAGGCAGTAGGGACAGTTTGGGCGAAAGCCTGGAATCCTGCAGACACATGGGTAGGGATGTGTAGGGGTGAGGTAGTGCTGGGGGGGTGCCCTTGGCTGAGCTCTGAATGCCTTTCTGGGGACCAGGGACCTAAAGAGGTTTTTGAGTTGAATTACAGGAGTAGAGAGGCATTGAGGCTGCTCTTTCTGGCTGTCAGAAAAAGGGGGCTGGGGCAGGGGGCTGCAACTGTCCAGAGTGTGGAGGCAGCTGTGGTCTGTAACAGTGGCATCAGATATTCTGGAGCAGAAGTGACTCACAACCATTGCTGAGGGGTTGGATGGGGGATGGCCAGGACCACAATGGGCCCAGGTATCTGATTGGGACCTGGGATAAATGGGACCACCCTGAGTTGGAGACTGGGTGCTGGGGACAGTTGGGGAGTTTGACAGTGTGGGATGCCTTCAGAATATCCCAGAGGCAGTGTCAGGGCATCTGGAGATGCAAATGTGACCATATGGGGACACAATCCAAAGGCAGCCCTTGAAGTGGAGTTGGGAAGATCACTCTCCTGGGCCTGGGTGCTGGCAGCAACAGTACCGGGCACCTGGTGTTAATTTGTACACTCATAAATCCATCTGTCAGCACATCAGGGATCCCTTCTTTGGCCCATAGTACAGATGAAGGGACTGAGGCTTAACCTGCCCAAGGTCACATACAGCTAGCAACTGGCCATGCTGGAGTTTGAACCTAGTCCTCTGACATCCCAGCCAGGAGAGGGGTAAGCAGGCTGCAGAGGCCAAATGCAGCCCAGGACCTCAACCCCCATAGGAGCCCCAGGATCCAGTGAGGTGCCCCACAGCCAACATGGGCTTCAGGGTGAAGGGGAAAGTGATGAATCAAACAGAAAGCAGCAGATGCAGACAAGCTCTCTCCCCGGCAGTCCAGGCACCAGATTTTCACGCCCACAGTAAAGGGGCCAGGCAGAGCACTAGGTGTGGGGCAGGAGAGGACAGTGAAAGTGGTTGCCGCTGAACCCAGACTCTGATGTACTCCGGATATGGGTGGCACGGACTGACAGACACCCAGCCCAGCTCCACACTGAAAGTTGACTGCATCTCAGCATGTGAGGATGTGAAGTTTGCCTTGTCAGGGGGAGCATTTCAGGTCCCTAGGCCTGTGAGGTTCTGGGATGAGGCACCAGATAAATGAGTCTAAAAACCCTTGTTGAAGACACTCCAGAGCTCAAAAACTGACCATTGCTCCCTACTCTCATGGCCCGCACTGAAAGCCACTGTTTCTTCATCATTCTGCTCAGCCCTCCTGCCTCAGCCCCGTAGAGCTTTGGAGCCCCTTCTTTCAAAGTACATTTCATGTGCAACTCAAATGTGTATTTTTAAAAAGATAAAGTGAGCATCTTGTTAGCATAAATGTATTTTGTAAGTGCAAATTCTTTCTTAGCATGAGGGGCAAACAGCAGTGAACACAAATGTTTGAACTGGGGGCTGGGATGGGAGTTGTAGTCTTATGTTGGTCTCAATGTCCAGCTTGATTTTGGTGGCACAGGACTAAGTTACCGCTCATTCTTACAGGTGAGCGTTTACAAATCCTAGCTCTGTGTCTGAAACCAACCTTGCGGTCTCTTTGATTTACAGGGACAGTAAGAGAAGCCTTATTTCAAGCTCAGCACAAACCCTGTTCTCTGAGGACATAGGAAGAATTCTAATGTGTCATAATTTGGTTCTGTGCCCATTTGAGTCTGTATGTGGTTTTCGAAATTGGGTTTTTTGTTTTTCAATAATTAAAAATATGAGCTGGGCATGGTGGCACATGCCTGTGGTCCCAGCTACTCAGGAGGCTGAGGCAGGAGGATTACTTGAGCCCAAGAGTTTGAGACAGCAGTGCGCTATAATCTTGCCACTGCACTTCAGCCTGGACATTAGAGTGAGACCCTGTCTCTAAAAAAGTAATTTTAGGCTGGGCATGGTGGCTCATGCCTGTAATCCCAGCGGTTTGGGAGGCCGAGGCAGGCAGATCACTTGAGTTCAAGACCAGCCTGGTCAACATGGTGAAATGCCATCTCTACTAAAAATACAAAAATTAGCCGGGTGTGGTGGCTTACGCCTGTTATCCCAGCTACTTGAGAGGCTGAGGCAGGAGAATCGCTTGACCCCAGGAGGCAGAAGTTGCAGTGAGCTGAGATTGTGGCACTGCACTCCAGCCTGGGCAGCAAGAGTGAAACTTTGTCTCAATAATAATAATAATTTTAAAAAATATTTTAAAAATGAAAGAAAAGGAAGAAGGGAGGAGGAAGCAAGAAAGAGAGAAAGGGTCTGGATGCGGTGGCTCACACTTGTAATCCCAGCACTTTGGGAGGCTGAGGCGGGTGGATCAACTGAGGTCAGGAGTTCAAGACCAGCCTGGCCAACATGGTGAAACCCCGTCTCTACTAATAATACAACAATTAGCTGGGTGTGGTGGCTCATGCCTGTAATTCAGGAGGCTGAGGCAGGAGAATCGCTTGAGCCCGGGAGGCGGAGATTGCAGTGAGCTGAGACCGTGACACTGCACTCCAGTGTGGACAACAGAGCAAGACTCTCAAAAAAAGGGAGTGAAAGGAAGGAAGAAGGAAAGAAAGAGAAGGAACTGCTGTGGGGTGGTTGATGCCCCATGTGACCATTTCCTCCCCGGAGATCTGCCCTGACAGCTCCAGCCCCCACAGTCTAAGACTCCCAGCACTCCCACCCAGCATCTGTCACAGCAAATGAATCTGGGCAACATGCTCCTGGGAGCCCCACCTGGCTCCACTATGGATGCTCTAA